CTAACCTCACTCCATTCCAGTGCGTGTTGGGGTATCAGCCGGCCCTGGCATCTTGTCATCCGAGCCAGACCAATGCGACCGGGTCTGGCTCTCCACCCGGAACCTGCCCCTCCGCTTGCCCTGCCGGAAGCTGAGCCCGTGGTTTGTGGGGACGTTTAAAGTCCTGATACGTATTCCTGCGCCTGTCTTCTAATCATTATACATCGTGACAGTATCAGTTTTGTACATCTGGATTTGGGTATTTTCTCAAATTCTTCCTTGTAGATTTTCTCAAGCTCTGTTAAATTAGATGGGGATCGGCGGTGAACAGCAATATTCAAGTCTTTCCACAGATTTTCAATGGGATTCAAGTCTGGGCTTTGGCTGGGCTACTCAAGGACTTTGACGTTCTTGTTCTGAAGCCATTCCAGCGTTGCTTTGGCTGTATGCTTAGGGTCATTGTCCTGTTAGAATGTAAATCTTCGCCCCAGTCTGTCGTTTGCACTCTGAAGCAGGTTCTCATCAAGGATTTGCCTGTATTTGGCTCCATGCATTGTTACCTCTATCCTTACCAGTCTCCCAATCCATGCCACTGAAAAGTATCCCTATAGCATGCTGCTGCAACCATAATGCTTCACGGTAGGGTTGGTTAGATGGGTGATGAGCTATGCCTGGTTTTCTCCAGACATTGCGCTTTACATTCAGGCCAAGAGTTACATTTTTAAAATCAGACTACATAATCTTTTGCCTTATGCTCTGAGTCTTTCACATGCCTTTTTGCAAACGCCAGGCATGCGGTCGTGTATTTTTCTAAGGCGTCTGGCCACTCTCCCATAAAACCCAGATTGGTGAAGTGCTGTAGAGACCGTTGTCCTTCTGGCAGGTTCTCCCATCTCAGCCAATGAACTCTGTAGTTTCTGTCAGAGTTGTCATTGGGTTCTTGGTCACCTCCCTGACCAAGGTCCTTCTTGCCCGGTTGCTCAGTGTGGTCGGACGGCCAGCGCTAGGCAGTCTGGGTAGTTACAATATTTTTTTCCAGTTCCCAATGATGGAGAACACTGTGCTCTTGGAAACTTTTAACACTCCAAAAATAGTTTTTTTACCCTTCCCCAGATGTACGCCTCATCACAATTCTATCTCGGAGATCTACGGACAGTTCTTTTGGACTTCATGGCATAGTTTCTGCTCTGTCAACTGTCGGACCTTATATACAGCGCCTCCAGAAAGTATTCGTACCCCTTCACTTATTCCACAATTTGTTGCGTTACAGTCTGAATTCAAAATTGATTAAATAAAATGTTTTCTCACCCATCTACACACAGTACCCCATAATGAAAAAGTGAAAAAGTGTTTTTAGAAATTGTAGCACATTTATTGAATATGAAATACAGAAATATCTCATTTACATAAGTATTCACACCCCTGAGTCAATACATGTTAGAATCAACTTTGGCAGTGATTACAGCTGTGAGTCTCTAAAAGCTTTACACACCTGGATTGTACAATATTTGCACATTAGTCTTAAAAAAATTCTTCAAGCTCTGTCAAGTTGGTTGTTGACCATTGCTCAACAGCCATTTTCATGTCTTGCCATCGATTTTCAAGCGAATTTAAGTTAAAACTGTAACTCGGCCACTCAGGAACATTCAAAGTCGTCTTGGTAAGCAACTCCAGTGTATATTTGGCCTTGTGTTTCAGGTTTTTACCCATCTGAAAGGTGAATTTGTCTCCCAGTGTCTGTTGGAAAGCAGACTGAACCAGGATTTTCTCTAGGATTTTGCCTGTGCTTGGCTCTATTCCGTTTATTTTCATCCAAGAAAAATCCCTAGTCCTTGCCGATGACAATCATACCCATAGCATGATGCAGCCACCACCATGCTTGAAAATATGAAGAGTGGTACTCAGTGATGTGTTGTGTTGGATTTGCCCCAAACATAACACTTTGTAATCAGAAGTTAATTTCTTTGCCACATTTCTTGCAGTTTTACTTTAGTGCCTTATTGCAAACAGGATGCATGTTTTGGAATAATTTTTTTCAGTACAGGCTTTCTTCTTTTCACTCTGTTGTTGATCCATCCTCAGTTTTCTCCTATCACAGCCATTAAACTCTGTAACTGTTTTAAAGTCACAATTGGCCTCATGGTGAAATCCCTGAGCGGTTTCCTTCCTCTCCGGCAACTGAGTTAGGAAGAACGCCTGTATCTTTGTAGTGACCGGGTGTATTGATACACCTTCCAAAGTGTAATTAATAACTTCACCATGCTCAAAGGGATATACATTTTTACCCATCTACCAAAAGGTGCTCTTCTTTGCAAGGAATTGGAAAACCTTGCTGGTCTTTCTGGTTGAATCTGTGTTTGAAATTCACTGCTCGACTGAGGAACCTTACAGACAATGGTATTTGTGGAATACAGCGATGAGGTAGTCATTCAAAAATCATGTTTAACACTATTATTGCACACAGAGTGAGTTACATACAACTTATTATTTGACTTGTTATGCAAATTGTTGCTCTTGAACTTATTTAGGCTTGCAATAACAAAGGGGTTGAATACTTATTGACTCAAGACATTTCAGCTTTTCATTTTTAATTCATTTGTACAAATGTCCAAAACATAATTCCACTTTGACATTATCAGGGAATTGTGTGTAGGTCAGTAATACAAAATCTCAATTTAATTAATTTTAAATTCAGGCTGTAACACAACATTTTGAAAAAGTATTGTGGTGTGAATACTTTCTGAATGCACTGTAGTGTGTTTCTTTCTAAATCATGTCCAAACAATTGAATTGGCCAAAGGTGGACTCCAATGAAGTTATAATGACATCTCAAGGATGATCAAAGAAAATTGGATGCACCTGACCTCAATTTTGAGTGGCATTGCAAACAGGTGTGAATACTTCTGTAAATTAGATATTTCTGTATTTCATTTAAATACATTTGAAAATGATCTAAAAACATTTTTTCACTTCGGCATTTTGGGGTATTGTGTGTAGATTGGTGAGAAAAAATGCAATTTAATCCATTTTGAATTCAGGCTGTAACACAACAAAATGTGGAATAAGTCAAGGGGTATGAATACTTTCATTGGCAGACCTGGCTCTCAAGTGAAGACAGGATATGTGTCCACTGTCCACCAAATGAGGTGGAAACTGAGCTGCACTTCCGAACCTCCTGCCAAATGTATGACCACATTAGAGAGGCATATTTCCCACAGATCACACAGATCCCAAAATAATTTGAAAACAAATCAAAACATTGATAAACTCCCATATCTGTTAGGCGAAATACCGCAGTGTGCAATCACAGCAGCAAGGTTTGTGGCCTGTTGCCATGAGAAAAGGGCAACCAGTGAAGAACAAACAACATTGTAAATACAACCCATATTAACTGTTTATTTATTTCCCAAATGTGTTACAACACATTTGAAATGTCTATATTCTTTTAAAACTTTTGTGAGTGTAATGTTCACTAACGTTTCCCTTATTTATTTCCCTTTTGTTTATTGTCTATTCCGTTTGCTTTGGCAATGTAAACATATGTTTCCCATGCCAATAAAGCCAATTGAATTGAATTGAAATTGAGAGCGCGAGAGAGAGAGAGAGAGAGAGAGAGAGAGAGAGAGAGAGAGAGAGAGAGAGAGACTAAGCTATCATTTGGAAGTCGGGCTATAGAGACAGACGGGCGAGAAAACAGTATTATCGGCCTCTGATGTCTACTCTGCTCTGTAGTGGTGAGTTAATCTAGAACAGAGAACACAGGGAGGGAGTGAGACGGAGAGGGGGGGGGGGGGGGCTGGCTGGGCTCTTACAGTGAAAAGAGAGAAAGTTGGAGAATCAGATGGAAAAGGAGATTCTAATGGAAAACCCAAAAAATACATGAGAGGAAGAGGAGGAAAAATAAAATATGTGGAATTGGGTCAAATACTTTACTGAAAAGTCAGAGAGAGTGGGTTTTTGAGGGAGGGAGAAGAGAAAGAGAGTGAATGTGTATGATAGAGAGACAGAGAGAGAGACAGAGAGAGGGGGTTATAATGGAGACATGCAGAGGGGAAGGGGACTAAGTGAGAGGGAGAGCTGAGAGAGACAGAGGGAAGGGAAGAGCTAAAGGAGGGGAGGGAGGGGTGATACTGGGTGAGAGACGAGGAGGAGAGGAGGAGACAGGCTGGATAGTGGATGGGGTAAAAGACAAAGAGAAGAGTAAATAAGATCTCTCTCTCTCTCTCTCTCTCTCTCTCTCTCTCTCTCTCTCTCTCCTCTCTCTCTCTCTCTCTCTCTCTTCTCTCATAGAGCTCTATGCCTTGTATGGTGGAGATACAGAAACCAACAGATGCATAGGTCTCTGGAGAGAGATGGAAGGGTGCTGGGTGGAGTGATACAGTGGGATAGAGAGAGAGAGCAAGTGGTAGAGAAAGAGGACGAACAGAGAAAGCTGGGGTAGTGAGAGGGAGAGAGGAATAGAGAGACCGATAGAGAGAAAGAGGGAGAGAGAACTGGAGATAAATCGCGGAGTGATAGACTGACTGACAGAAAAAAATGGGAGGAGAGAGCTGTATGAGAGAGAGCGAGGGGGAGGCCAGCTCATAGAGCGTACAGCACGTGTGTAGCTGAAAGAGATAGAGGGAGGGAGGGAGGGAGGGAGGGAGGGGTGGGTGAAGGGGAGGAGAGAGGGAAACAGAGGGAGGGGGAGAGGTATTTAAACCGCGGAGCAGGACAGCACAGACTAGCTCTGAACTCCCACAGAGTAGACGGAAGAGAGGAGAGGAGAGAAAGAGAAGAGAAGTGGAGGAACATAGAAACAGAGTGCTACAGTACAATCTGCGCATAGCCAGCCCCACACACACACACATTCGCACACTTCCAGAACGCACCTCACCCATCCAGCTGGACTTCCTCTCTCCAAGTTGACTCCAGCCCTCAAGCCATCTTTACTGGAACCGTGACTACCTTTCCTCCACGCTACCACCACTCCCACTCTTCCTCATCCATCTCTCCCTCGTTCCCTCGTTCTTCAGGGGGGGATGGCACGGGCCTCTTTCGGGGGTGCCCTGCTGGCCCTGGTGGCCCTGGTGTTGGCAGCTGGTATGGTTTTGGGGAGTCCCCCTGCGGCAGGCTTCTACCCCCGCTTCAACCCCTTCTTCTTCCTGTGTACGCACCACGGGGAGCTGGAGGGGGCCGGGGTGGCAGAGGGAGGGGGAGAGGTGCTCCTCACCCTACAGATTGCTGGAAACCCCACCGCCTACACTCCGGGACAGGAGTATCAAGGTGAGTTAGGTTATCCCGCAGTGGTAGGGTACACACCCTGGGTAAAATGTGTGTGTCAGTGTGTATGGGGAGGAGACTGATTTTGTTATGTTTGACCATCTTGTGTGTGACGTTGTGTGTGTGTGACCCACTGTGTGTGTGTGTGTGTGTGTGTGTTACCCCTTCGGTGTTTGACTGTGTGTGTGTGTCTGAATGTGGAGGAGACGGAATGTGTTGTTTGATAATTGTTTTGTATCGCTGATATCAATCATTATCTTATTTAAGTTAAGAATAAATAGTTGTGTATCTATGGTATAAAATGTTAGTGTTTTTCAAGCAGATTTCTTGCTGGCAATTCCTGAAAAATGTGGGGCATGTTTCCAATAAAGACACTTTATGGTTGGCTGTATTTAGGAGGACAATTTCCATAAGCTTTACATATGTTAAATGCAAATTAATTCAGAAGCAAGTTTGTCTGCTTTGTTAAACGGTTTCTGGTGATTTGGTTGAATTTGTTTTGCAATTTCATGAGTCGAATTTTGAACAGAAGAATATTCATCATGTTAAAATTGTGCGTTTCTGTGTTTTTTAGTAAAGAAGATAGAGGAAAATAAGTGTTTCCAATGACATCATCGGTCTGCATCGTGTGATTTTTAACCAATTATGAGTAGGCATTGCCAACTAATTGCCTACTAATTGGTTGATGATGTCATTGGAAACACTAATCTTCCTCTATCTTTTTTTACTACAAAACATAGAAACGCGCCATTTTCACGTATGTGGATGTTAGGGTGGTGCTGGAGATGATGAACATGAAGAGGAAAATGGAGACATTAAAGGTTCCCAGAACATTTAGTTAGGTTGTGGGAACAGTGTGGATGGATACATTACAAGAGATAGGTTCCCAAAACACAAAATATGCTCAACACAAAATACTGTACCTAATATTACCACAACATTCAATGTCACATATTCTTCAACCGTGTAATAAATAAACAATACAATAAAAATTGTGAAAATGAGGCTCAGATATAATCTACTTAAAGAGAATATGTCTTTATTTCGTCCAGATTTATAAAGCAGAATTTAGACTAACTGAATTTTTTTAACATTGTGTGAAAATTGTCTGTTCAACTTTTTAAAATGCACCCTGTATAATTCCTATTTTGAGACTCTTGATATGGTCCCCCCTGTCTTATTTTGTGTGATCTGAAAAGCAAAAGTGATCCTAGATCAGCGCTCATAGTCTTGGATACCTTGTAAATATGGGCCCAGAAGTACGCAGCATGTAAAGAGGATGAGTGAAGTGACGGTGAATAACCCAGTTACCAGTATTTCCCTGGGTTAGTTATGTCTAAGAAGGCTAAGAAGGCACCATGGAATCCCTCATTGACCATACTTCCTTGGCTATATACAAAATAAATAAGAAGTAAGAGAGATTCCCTGGTGGTGCAGAGGATAAACGACCTGGCTTGGGAATCAAACATTACACATGCAAACCCCACACGTGCAGATTGTCAACATTTTAAGTGTAAAAAAATATGGTTGTGCTTGTATGATTAAATGCTATTCAAATGCCTTATAAAAATAAAAATCCTATATGTTTCTATATTACCTTCAAATGCAAAATTACAATTAAATCTGGAGTGAAACACAATGGGGATGTATTCCATTCTAGTTAAGGAGCTACACATTTGCATGCTGAGAATGTTGTGGTAATATTAGGTAAAACTTCAATACAACCTTTTCTAAATGTTCTTGAAATGTTCTGAGGACCTCCAAGACAAGGTCAAATGTATATTGCGTGAACATCAATGTAATATTATGTTAAACCTAAAACAAATATGCTATGAACTTCATAAAAAACAGACTTATTTGGAAATTGTGCAACATTGTGCAACATTGTGGAAATGTTCTGTGCAACCTATGTGGATATCACAAGAATAATATTGCAACATCCCATACAATTCCCATAACGTTATTTAAATGTTCTGGCAACCTTTAAAGAGTTTAGACCAAGTGTTCTGTCAACATTCTTACAACATTATAGGAATGTCCTGTGCAACCTAACTAAAAAATTGTATGAATGTCATACAACTGGATAGTTTTAGTCATATCCCCACAATGTTCCCACAGCCTAAAGAAACATTCTGGGAACCTTTAAAGAACAGACTAAATGTGTTCTGGGAAAGTTCTTGTAACATCAGGTGAATGTCTTTTGCATCCTAAAAGAAACATTGTAGAATCATCCGCACAACTGGACAGTGTTTGTGTTTTGGAAACATATCTTTTGTGATGTCCCCATAATGCTCCCACCAGACTGTTCCCACAACCTAATGAAACATTCTGGGAACTTTTAAAGAACAGATTAAATGTGTTCTAGGAATGTTCTTGCAACATCAGGTGAATGTTTTATACAAACATTCTATAATCATCAGCACGACTGGACAGATTTTGTGTTTTGAGAACATTTGCCTCGACCCCAAAACATTTCTGGGGACTTTCACAGAACCAATTTTGGTTTGCTGGGATGAGATACGACTGTTTGGGATTGTTGTATGTGCTGTGTTTGGATTTAGTAGAATTGCTGGCTGTGACACTGCAGAGCTGTTGTGTTAGTGTGGGGTGGCGGTGGATGGATTTAAACAGGTGTTTATGTAAGTATTGATACAGAGTGAAGTGGGACGTTTGTTCTGAGATGGAGCTGATGCCGGAGCTAGCTGCTAGCTGCTAGCTGCTAGCTGGTGTTTTCTGTGTTGTGTGATCACGCTGCCCCGTCCTCAGTGTGTAGGTGGCTTTATTTCCCCCAAGACTAAAGGAGGAAAAGGGAAAGAAGGGAAGGGAAAAGGGGGGGGAAAAAGGAGGGGAAGGGAAGAGGAAAAGGGAGGAGAGAAGGGGGAAAAAAGAAAGAGGAGAGGAAAAAAGATTTGAGAAGGAGTAAAAAAGGGGGGGGTTAGGGGGTGGGGGGGGTGGGGTTTTTCTTGATTGTTTCCGCCTTTCCTTTTCTTCCCTTCCTCTCTTTTTCCCCCCCCCCCCCTTTTTTTAAACCCCCCCCCCCCCTCCCTTTTCCCCCCCCCCCCCTTTCCCCCCCCCCCCTCCCTTCCAAATTTTTTCCCCCCCCTCCCCTTTTTTTCCCTTCCCCCCCCCGCCCGCGCCCGCCCCGCTCCGGCCCCGCCCCCTCTTTTCCCCCCCCCGTCCCTTCCCCCCCCCCACCCGGGGCGGGGGTGCCCCGGGGGGGTTTTCTCCCTTTGTTTGCCGGGGGGGTTTTTTAAAAAAATTTTCCCCTTTTGGGGGGCCCCGGGGGGGAGAGGGAAAGGGTTTTTAAATTTTTGGGGGGCCCCCCGTTGAAAAGGGTTTGGGTTGGGTTAGGGATTTAAAAAAAAGGGGGACCCGGGGCTTTTGGGGTTTTTGGGGGGGTTTGGGGGGTTTGGATCGGGTTTGGGGATAATGGGTTTTTTTGGGACAACTTTTTTTTTTGGGGGTTTAAAATTTTTGGGGGGTGAAAAAAATTTTTTGGGGGGGGTAAGGCCAAATGGGAAAAAAGGGGGTTTTTTTTTCCGGGGGCTGGAAAAATTTCGGGGGGAAAGACCAAAAGCTTTTACTTTTTTTTTCACCTTTTTTTAAAATTTTAAAATTTTTTTTTTTAAAACCCCCCCTAAAAAAAAAACAAAAAAAAAAAAAAAAAAAATTTTAAAATTTAAAAAAAAAAAAAATAAAATAGGGGAAAAAGGGGCCAAGGGGGGAAAAATTAAACGTTTTCCGGAATTTTTTTTTTGGGGGGGAGTTTGTTTTTTGGGAAAAATTTAAAAGTGTTTTAAAGCACGAAGGGTTTTTTTTTGGCAAGGGGGGGGGAAGGGAAGACGATGAAAAAAAATTTTTTAAAAAAAATGAAAAGGACCCCAATAGAAGGGGGGGGGGGTACTTTGGTAGCAAAGGGCGAAAAACCGGGGGAAGAGGATAGGGGAAAGATGGGGAAGGGACCCCGGGGAAGGTTTTTTGGAGGAAGAAGTTTTTTGGAGAAAAAAGGGGGGAAGGGGAAGGGGGGGGGGGGGGAAAGAAAATTTTTTAGGGGCCAAGGAAGAGGGGGGGGGGTTTTGACGTATTTAAAAAAAATTTCTTTTAAAAAATTTTTTAAAAATGGGGGGTTTTTGGGTTTTAATAATTTTGGGGATTTTTTCCCCTTTTTTCGTCGGAAAAAAAGTGTTTTGGGGTTTGGGGGTGTTTTGGTGCTTTGGGGGGTTTTGGGGGTTGTTTTTTGTTGGTGGTTTTTCTGTTGTTGTTTTTAAAACCCGATTTTATTTTTCCCCCCTAAAAAATTTTAAAAATTATCATGGAAAAAACCCCTAAATGAAGAACATAATTAATTTTTGGTTTGGGAAAGAAGGGGAAAGGGGAAAGGGGGGGGAAGGAAACCTGTCATTTTTTTTTTGTTCTACTTGGATTTGGGATGTTTGTATTTGGGATCAAAGCTTAGATCTATGATGCTCCAGTGTTTACAAGTGCTACTGTATTATTATGTTGCTTTGTTTTGTATCTGTTTCTACTGCATGTGTACTGCATATGTACTTCATGTGTACTGCATGTCAACTGCATATGTACTTCATGTGTACTGCACGTGAACTGCATATGTAATGCATGTGTACTTCATGTGTACTTCATGTGTACTGCATGTGTACTGCATGTGTACTTCATGTGTACAGCATGTGCACTGCATGTGTAATGCATATGTACTTCATGTGTACTGCATGTGTAATGCATATGTACTTCATGTGTACTGCATGTCAACTGCATATGTACTTCATGTGTACTGCATGTGTACTGCATATGTAATGCATGTGTACTTCATGTGTACTTCATGTGTACTGCATGTGTACTGCATGTGTACTTCACGTGTACTTCATGTGCATTTTAATGTATTCTGTGGAAGAGTGTGATTGTAGTGTTTTCGTAGTTTCAGAGTGTGTGTATGTGCATTTGCACACAGTACCAATGTGTTTGTGAGCACATGGGGGTTGTTGGGTCATTGTGAAGTACAGTTTGAGAGCCACTCACACTCACTCCCCTGCTGTTGCAGTCAGGCAAAGATACGCTGTGTGTGTGGTGTGTGTGTGCGTGTGTGTGTGTGCTGTGGGGTGTGTGTGTGTGTGTGTGTGTTGTGTGGTGTGTGTGCTGTGTGGTGTGTGTGTAACAGACCAGATTTCATTGTTCCTCTCCACTGTAGAAATCTTAACAACTCTCAGCCACTCAATGAGAAGCAACACTACCACTGACAGAACACTACTTAAAGAAGCAAAAGAGAGAGAGAGAGGAGAGAGAGAGAGAGAGAGGAGATAGAGAGAGAGAGAGATGAGGGGGAGAGATAGAGAGAGAGAGGCGAGAGAGAAGAGAGGAAAATTTTATGTTTATTTATTTTCCCATTTGTACTTTAACTATTTGCAAAATTGTTACAACACTGTATATATACATAATATGACATTTGAAATGTCCTTTATTCTTTTGAAAACTTCTGAGTGTAATGTTTACTGTTAATATTTATGTGTTTATTTCACTTTTGTTTACTATCTACTTACACTTGCTTTGGCAATGTTAACACACGTTTCCCATGCCAATAAAGCCCTTAAATTGAATTGAGAGAGGAGGGGAGGGGAGAAAGCGCTGCGCGAAGCTAGAGGAAGAGAGGAGAAGAGAGAGATAGATAGTAGAGAGATAGAGAGAGAGAAGAGAGATAGATCGAGGAGAAAGGGCAGTAGGGGCAGATGTAATGTATAAAGCTATATAGGGAGAGAGAGATAATGGATAGGAGATAGCGAGTATGAGAGGGTAGGGTAGTGTGAGGGGCAGAAAACTATAGAGGGAGAGCTGTTTAGCAATCCAGTCAACAGCATCACAGGCCAAAATGACCATTGCTAATCTGACGATAGTAACAACGTCGTGCTCCTCCTTAATGGGTCCTTTCATGTGTTAATCGATGGAGAGACACAGAGAGACAATCAACACTTCAAGGAGCTTTACACCCTGTCGCTTAATGGTGACCTAGCGATAAATCCACCCCGCAAATAGCTAATACCATCAATGCTCTGCAGTGATAGCATATCTGATTAGAAAATACTGAAATACACTGCTGTTTGCACGGTAGTGCATTATCTACTTACTGTTGCGGAGGCCTTATGTTGACTGATGGCTGTTAAACAACATGCGACACGTGTCTTCATGAGTGTTCCCAGTAGATACAAGATACCACAACCACAGATAGGCTTGGAAGAAATGTGGTGGGGGGGCAGTTTCCTGGACACATATTATGCCTAGTCCTGGACTGGGAGGACTTTCAATAGAGATTCACTACCCCATATTCTCTTCTTTCCATGGCGACCACAACAACAACTACAACAACAACAACAACACGTCATGGAAACAGAGAGGGAGACATCTTTAAGACTAGAGACAGACTGCAATGCCTGCTTGTCTTTTTTTGCCTGATTCCTTCACGTCAACATCCAGCCCATCGCCAGTCTCTTTACTGAGAAATGCTCTCAAACGCAGAGAGACACTGAGAGGTCAGGGGTCAGCTGAGACACTTGACATACCCGCCAGAGGTCAAGTGTCGCAGGAGATGCGGATGTCACCCGATGAGATGAGACGGATGTCATTTTGGAAGAAGCAAGGCCCTTTATTACTCGTGCTCTTAAGAACTGAGCCATCTCCACATCTTCGGTGTGTTCGGAGCCTACGGACACTAATATCGCTGCTTTATATTAACGAGGCGCTCATGGAGAAAGCGCTGCGCGTAAACCCGAGACGCTAACGTGTCAGTCCAGCGAACCACCGCATGAGGACATGCAGGAGACTGGCCTAGTTTTCAGCCTGCATACAGTGGCCAGTTTAGGGTAACAGGGAGAGGGGTGGAAAGAGGGATGGAGGGAGGAAGGAGGGCTTTATTGGCATGGGAAACGTGTGTTAACATTGCCAAAGCAGGTGAAGTAGATAGTAAACAAACGTGGAATAAAACCCTAAAAAGGACAGAACATTAAAATATTTTTCTCTTTTTTCTCGCTCCTTTTTCTCCTCCCTCCCCCCTCCCCCCTCCCTTCCCCCCCTTCCTCTTCCCCTTCCTTCTCTTCTCTCTCTCTCTTCCCCTCTCTCTCTCTCTTCCCCCTCTCGCTCTTCTCCCTTTTAGTGTGAGGGGGAAACAACTAACCCTTATCTTTTTCAACCCCTTTTGCCTCCTCTGCTTGTCTCGTAGGTCACGTAACAGGGGGGGTGGTATAGAAGTGTGTCAATGTATCAACCGTTTGCGGTTCTGCTGCATGTGTATCCCCCTTGGGGGTAAAGGTGTTTTGGGGGGTTCTCCATTATTTTCCATAGTGCATTTTGCCAAAGGAGACATTAAGATGAAAATTTTTATTATTGACTGATGAGCATTCTTTCCCAGATACTTCCTTCCCCCTTTTGAGAGCAGATGGGGGATAGTTTCCCCTTTTGGGAAGAGCAATGGGTGGAGTAATCCTCTTTTTGAGAGCAGAGGGAAGAGCTTCCTCTTTCTTAGGGCAATGGGAGAGAGTTCCCTTTCTGAAGAGCAATGGGTGGAAGCTTCCCCTTTCTGAAGAAAGATGAGTGAGAGAGCTTCCTCTTTCTGAAGACAGAGGGTAGTGTTCCTCTTTTTTGAAGACAAAATGGGTGAGGAAACTTCCTCTTTTTGAAAGGGGAGATGGGTGAAGAGCTTCCTCTTTTTGAAACAATGGGTGAGAGAGCTTTCCCCTTCTGAAAACAGATGGGTGAGATGCTTCCTCTTTCTGAAGGCAAGGGGTGAGAGAGCTTCCTCTTTTTCTAAAAGCAGATGGGTAAGGGCTTCCCCCCCTTTCTGAAAAAGCAGATAGGGGGGAAGGGGGCTTCCTCTTTCCCAAAAGCGAGGTGAGAGAGCTTCCCCTTTTTGAAAAAGCAATGGGTGAGAGAGCTTCCTCTTTCTGAAGAGCAGATGGGTGAGAGAGAATCCTCTTTCTGAAGAGCAGATGGGTGAGAGAGATTCCTCTTTCTGAAGAACAGATGGGTGAGAGAGCTTCCTCTTTCTGAAGAGCAAGGTTTAAAGCTTCCTTTTCTGAAAGGCATGGGTGAGAGAGCTCCTCTTTTTGAAAAAGAAGTGAGAGGCTTCCTCTTTCTGAAGAGCAAAAGGGGGGATACTTCCTTTTGAAGGCAATGGGGGAAGAGCTTCCCCTTTTGAGGATATGGGGGGAGAGACTTCCTCTTTTTGGGCAATGGGGGAGGAGCTTCCTCTTTTGAAGAGCAATGGGGGAGAAGCTTCCTCTTTCTGAAAAGAAAAGGGGGAAAAGGGTTCCCCTTTTTGAAAGAGCGATGGGGTGAGAAGCTTCCCCCTTTTGAAAGCAGATGGGGAGAGAGCTTCCTCTTTCCGAAGAGCAGATGGGTGAGAGAGCTTCCTCTTTCTGAAGAGCAGATGGGTGAGATAGCTTCCTCTTTCTGAGGCAGATGGTGAATAGATTCCCTTTTTAAAAGCGATGGGTGAGAGATTCCTCTTTCTGAAGACGATGGGGGGGGGAAGCTTCCTCTTTCTGAAGAGCAGATGGGTGATAGAGATTCCTCTTTCTGAAGAGCAGATGGGTGATAGAGATACCTCTTTCTGAAGATTAGATGGGTGAGATAGCTTCCTCTTTCTGAAGAGCAGACGGTGAAAGTTTCCCCTTTCTGAAGAGTATGGGTGAAGATAGCTTCCTCTTTCGAGAGCAGATGGTGAATAGCTTCCCCTTTCTGAAGGCAATGGGGGGAGGAGCTTCCTCTTTTTTGAAGGCGATGGTGAGAGAGCTTTCCCCTTTCGAAGAGCAGATGGGTGAGAGAGCTTCCTCTTTCTGAAGCAATGGGTGAGAAAACTTCCCCTTTTGAAGACAGATGGGGGAGAAGTTCCTCTTTCTGAAAAAGAGATGGGTGAAAGGGTTCCTCTTTTTGAAGCAATGGGAGAGACTTCCCCTTTTGAAAGCAATGGGGAAGAGTTCCTCTTTCTGAAAGGGGAATTTATGGTTTTTTGGGGAAAGGGGGAAACTTCCTCTTTTTTGAAGAGCAAGGGTGAGAATTTTTTTAAAAGTTTGAGAATTTTTTCCCAAGGGTGGAACTTCTCTTTTGGGAAAATAAACCCCCAAACAAGGGTAAACCCCCCAAACAAAAACCCAAACAAAATAACCCCAAAAAAAAACCCCAAACAAAACCCCAAACAAAAACCCCCCAAGTGTACACACACACACACACACAACACACACACACACACAAACACCACACCACACACAAAACACCAAAAACAAACACACACACAAACACACACCACACACACTCACACACACGCACCCTTGAGCACAGCATTTAACTCTTTAGTGGGTGATCCATCATGGCAGACAGACAGGTCAGATCCGATGTTCCGCAGACTGAGCTCTAATGTGATGTCATGATCACCAGACTATTAAAAGAATCCTTTGTGTTCAGTTCAGAAACTGGATGTGTTGCTGTGGTGTGTGTTTGTGTGTGGGTGTGTGTGATGTGGTGTGTGTGTGTGGTGGTGTGTGGTGTGGTGTGTGTGTGTGTGTGTGTGTGTGTGTGTGTGGTGTGTGTGTGTGTGTGTGTGTGTGTGTGTGTGTGTGTGTGTGTGTGTGTGTGTGTGTGGACAGCCCAACATGAATGTGTGCCTCTGACTTTCTGTACAAAATGTTACGCCTCCAAGGCACTGAGTGACCATGTTGTTTTCTGCTTCGTGTCGTGCCTAAGAACACCCTTTAGCCGGTTATCATTCAGAGTTGAGGTAAGCGTGTGCAAGTAGAGTTGGATTAAGCCAGTGTGGTCAGAATACCAACTAATCATGCAGGCATTGACTGTAGGTTGACTGGCTGGCTGGCTGGCTGGTTGGCTGGTTGGCTGGTTGGCTGGCTGGCTGGCTGACTGGCTGGTTGGCTGGTTGGCTGGCTGGTTGGCTGGCCTGCTGGCTGGCTGGCTGGCTGGTTGGCTGGCTGGCTGGTTGGCTGGCTGGCTGGCTGACTGACTGGCTGGCTGGTTGGCTGGCTGGATAGTTGGCTGGTTGGCTGGCTGGCTGGCTGGCTGGCTGGTTGGCTCGATGGCTGGCTGGTTGGCTGGCTGGTTGGCTGGTTGGCTGGTTAGCCAAGAAACTGGCTGCTTAGACATTTCTGGAAAATGATTGTGTCGCATCAGGGTATGGATAGTTGCCTCAGATAACATTGACATTGTTAGCCTGCACCAAGGTGTTTCCAACGCAGTGCGTGTGCCAACATACCAGGTGTGCAGTATATGAAGCCACAGATTTGACGCCAACGAAAGGGAAGGCCTGCCAAACAGTGGTGTGTGTGGGTGTGTTTATGCCTTTACGTGTGTGTGCCAGTCTTATCTGGGCAGCCGATGTTGGAACTCTTGCATTTTATATTTTTTATTACGCTCCCTTTCATTTGACGGCCAACACCAGAGAGGCTCTTAACGAGGTAAATGTTGAGCTGTGTTTTAGCTTTAGGCAGTAGGGCAGGGCAGGGCAGGGCAGGGCATGGCAGGGCAGGGCAGGGCAGGGCAGGGCAGGGCAGGACAGACAGGCAGACAGGCAAGCAGGCAGGCAGGCAGACAGGCAGACAGGCGTGTGGTGTGTAATCTGCATTTACCAGACCCCGGTCTCTCTGTGCTGCAGCAGGCCTGCTCGTTTGAAGGAGCTGGGGGGGGAGGGGGGGGATGGGGGCTCAGGCTGTATGGGGTTGGTGCTAATCTGACAGCCCGTGTCACGCATCGTGTGCCGACTAGCTCTTAGCAGCTCTCAGCCACACCGAGCCGAGCCACAGCCTCCTCTGTAGTCGGGCCGTGGGATGGAGGACTGGGACTGGGACTGGGGGGACTGGGACTGGGAGCACTACATGGCCTGCTGAATGCTATCAGCGCAGACGACACACTGGCCCCAGGCTGGGATTACAGACTTCTCAATGGAGATGCCATGTAGAGGAGGAACCAGAGCAGGACGCGAAAGGAGGAGGAGGAGTTACAAACAGACTACGATGAACAGCCGCTCCATTCTCATTCTGAACAAGGAAGGAGGCCATCGGCAGCAACGCTGATCAACACTGGCTACTGGGAAACAAACCCAGAGACAAAAATGAAGGAGACAACAAGACAAGCAAGAGAAAAGAGGAGAAGAGGGGGATGAGTGGAAGAAGAGAGAGGAGAAGAGGGGGATGAGTGGAAGAGAGAGGGAAGAGGGGGATGAGTGGAAGAAGAAGGGGGAAGGAAAGGGGGGGTGAGGAAGAAGAGAGAGGGAAAGAGGGGTTAGTTGGAAGAAAGAAGAAGAAGAGGGATGAGGGGAAGAAAGAGAGGAGAAGGGAGCAGGGAGAAAGAAGGAGGATGAGGGAAGAGAGGAGAAGGGAAAAGAAAAGAGGATGAGGAAAGAGAGGAGAAGAAGAGGGGAGAGGGGAAAGAAGAAGAGAGGGAAAGGTGGGATGAGGGAAGAAGAGAGGAAGAAGAGGGGATAGTGGAAGAAAGAGGGAAGGGGATGTTGGAAGAAGAGAGGAGAAGAGGGATTGAGTGGAAGAGAGAGAAAAGAAGGGGGATGAGTGGGAAGAGAGGAGAAGAAAGGATGAGGGGGAAAAAGGGAAAAAGGGAAGAAGAGGGGGGGGTGGGGAAGAGGGAAGGGAAGAGGGGGGGGGAAGAAGGGGAGAGAGGGGTGGGGGAAAAGGGGGCGGGGGTGGGGGGAAGGGGGGAGGGGGATTTTCGGTGGCCCAAAGCCGGGGGGGGGGGGAGGGGGGAGGGGGGGTGGGGGGGGGGGGGTGGTGGGGGGAAAGGGAGGGAGGTGGGGGGGGGGGGGGGTGGGGGGGGGGCGGGGTGGTGGGGGGAGGCGGGGGCTGTGGGGGGGGGGGGGGGGGGGGGGGGGGGGGGGGGGAGGGGAGGGGGGTTGGGGGGGCGGGGGGGGGTGGTGGGGGGGCCCCCGGGGGGGGGGGGGGGGCGGGGGGGGGGGCCCGGGGGGGAGGGGGGGGGGCGGGGAGGGCAAAAGTTGGTGGAGAAGAGGAGGGGGAAGAGGGGGATTGAGTGGAAGGGGCAGGAGCAGGGGTAAGAGGTGGAAGGGCCGGAAAGGTTTCCGGGGGTCTAACCCGGCCGATAGAAAGCTGTCGTTCCCTTTAACAGAAACCTGTGCCTTAAGGGCCTTT